AAAGAAAGAAAGAAAGAAAGAAAGAAAGAAAGAAAGAAAGAAAGAAAGAAAGAAAGAAAGAAAGAAAGAAAGAAAGAAAGAAAGATAATGTGGAGGGCCAAGGTTGTAGGAACCAGAAGTCTGCATGATAATGTCTTCTGAACAGGACAGAGATGTTGCTCCCATGAACTCAACAATGCAGCTGCCTGCACAGACCTGAAAAGTCCACACTAATCCACATGTCACCACAGATGAGGAAAATTTCATAAAGCCTCACTCCTAGAAGCTTTATGAAGAGCTACAGGCAGTCAATGGCTGCTGGGGGAGGACAATCCATGCAAATAAAGTGTCAATGCTAATTAGACTCAATAGGTTACACACACACACACACACACACACACACACACACACACACACACTCATCAAAATAGAAGAAGAGGTCAGGAATTCAATAAGGGGTTGTGGGGGGGGGGCACAGGAAGAGTTGGATGGGAAAAACGGAACAGAGATGATATAAATATAGTATACTTGTATAAAATCCTCAAATCTTACCAGGAAAAAAAATTTAAGAAACACAGTGTTTAAAATTTTTCCTAATGGCTTATTAAAATAACTGTCATCTTAAAAGAGAAATGCATGAAATATAATACAGCAATGAATATGCTTCTACATCCTACATAAAATAACTCATAAAACAAATACTAATTAGGACACAAGAGATTATCTTTTTAAAGACGGCCAGTCGGTCACTAAATGACCCTAACTGTGTCAAGCGGCCTCAGTGTGGACTTACACTGTCGCTGTAGGACACATCGGTGCTCCGAGACACACTGGAGTACAGGGTCCGGGTGCTGCCCAGGGTCCCGTTCCTGCGGCTCCTCATGCTGAGCCTGGCTCCCTCGAAAGACATCTTGCCTGTGGAGATTGGAGGGCAAGCGGGTTACACACATAAAAGGACTTCCCCGGAAGCGTGTGCCCCGCTGCCCCCTCCTCCCACTCTCCTTTCCTTACCATGGGCAGTGGACTATGTTCCGTCCGGCTCACCTGCATCGTCTACCCTGCACCTATTTCATCCTCTGGGACTCAGCAGGCATTTCTGCCCTGGGCACTGTGTCCTCTCCCACCCCTCATGCCTCAGTGCTGCCGCCCTATGGTAGCAACAGGCACGACAGCATTTTATGACCAGCATTCCTGAGACAAACTTGGGTGACCCACCCCCGAGTACCATCCACTGCGATTGCACTAATTGTCTACTTGGTTGATGAATGTGGAATGGCTAACACTAAAAAAGTATAGAAAATTACTATGTGCCTTTCTCCTTCTCTCTCTCTCTCTCTCTCTCTCTCTCTCTCTCTCTCTCTCTCTCTCTCTGTGAGCATTCCCATTCCAGGGCACATGTGGAGGTCAGAGGTCAACTTAAGGGGGTAGGTTCTTCCCTTCCACAATGCATTCCGAGAACTGAACCCGGTCCCTCAGGCTTGTGTGACAAGTACTTTCTCCTGCTGAGCCGGCTCCCTGGCCTCTGACGGGCATCATGTATCAGTCAGCTCATGGCCACAGTGGAGACAGGATCTTGGGTCTGATCCAAACCAAGCAAGGCCTGCAAGTCACATGCCCCAGGTCTCCCTGAAACTCTGAGGTTGGTATGTGAGTCTCAGGGACACCCCACACCTCCCACCTGTGTGAGCATCAGGGAAGTTCGTCTGTCTTGAGGGGGCCTTGCTTTCCTCACTCTTCATCTCACTCGAAGACACTCATCTCTGCTGCCGGAGACCCAGTCCCTCATGTCTCCTAAGCTCTGACCTGCATCCCAAGCTCCAGACAAAACCCAGACCATATGACCTGTAAATGCAGCAAACGGGACATTTCTAGAACAAAATCACTACCCACACTCCTCACTGTCTTCTCCTCTAGGGACCACGTGCATCCTGGACTGTGCCCTACTTCAGAGCCACAGATCTTGGGAACTCTCCTGGAATCCACTCGGCATGCACAGCCCAAACTGGTTAAAGTACTAAACATCTCTCTTACTTCTCCCCTACCAGGCATTTCAAAGAGCCGCACAGAGTATTAATAGGTACTTCACATACATTACTGTAAAACCGCAAATCAATCCTGCAATGCATTCGAGATGCCCTCCATACAGCAAATTGCTTCTGAGTGGGGCCCAGACGGTCGAGAAGCAATTTCACTTGCTTTGCAATGAGAAACTTTACTGCCCTGTAAAGGAAAAGGTGTGTTTTTGCGTTGGAGACCGCATCTCCGCCAAACCATGGAAGCTGTGCAGCCGGCAGGCAGCCCGCAGGCCTCTCCCGTCTCTTTCGGGCATTGGTCGCTAATCCTTGTCTGAGGTCAGCTGACCACATGAATCCATGTGAATCCAGGCACTTTTTATGACGTCTCATGTAACACATGGTACAGGTGCACGTTTACTGATCCTCCAGACACATTCCGGTGTGAAAAATAAAACAAGCTTTTGGAAGAAGTCCCAAGAGAAAAGACCGGAAGAGAGCTCCCAGGGGCCAGAGAGAGGCTGAGAAAAGAGGGCCCTAGGGGAGCCACAGGAAAGGAAAAGAGGCTTAAACTCACCCAAAGGAGAGGGAACTGGAAAGACTGACAAAAACCAGAAAGGCCAGAAGGAAAGAAAGCTGGGCCTTGGGGCGGGCAGCAACATGTCCAATCAATGCCTGCCCACATCTAGTAATCCTGAACCTGCCAGAAAAAATGGGCCAAAGACTGAAATCTAAATCCATGACAGGGGATACAATCTCTAATCAACATAAGTACTGTTCAGCCTCCTTGTAACCAAACAGGAAAAGTTCACCAACAATGAGGCACCAACAGGGAGACTTATGGAAGGCAGTCTTGTGTGTTGGGAAGAGGGTTAGGGGCAGACACTCTCCGACAGTGGGGGTGAGGATCAGGGGTGGAAGGTAGGGGAAAAACGTCTTTAGTTCCTGCAATCATTAGTGATGACATAGCAAGCTTAGGTCTCGCAAACAGCATAGCAAACTTTAAGAATGATCATTATTGGCTTTAGGGAATCTAGATGTTAAACTAAGTTTTCATCTGCAATGCATCCCCTGGTAGCTTGTCTACTCCCCAGTGGATGGTCCGACACCCATGAACATACTGGCAGCATGGTTGCAGACTTGGTGAGAGTTTCTAAAAGTACATAAGCTGGGAGAGAACAAGAGGGAAGGGTGTTGGAATAGTTAAAGGAGAGCATGGGGGTGGATTAGGTTAAAACATATCATATGCATGGCATTCTCAAATGCTGTCGGATGTCTTTCTGTATGCTGTGAATATGTGTTGCTCACAGTGGCTAATAAATAAAGCTGTTTTGGCCTACAGCAAGGCAGCTTAGAGGCAGGTGGGAAAGCATAGATACAGAGAGAAGAAAAGATACCAGCCACCACCAGGAGAAGTAAGATGTGAAAGTACCAGTAAGCCTCAGCCACGTGGCAACTTATAGATTAGTAGAAATGGATTAAGTTATAAGAGCTAGCTAGCAAGAAGCTTGCCATAGGTCATACAGTTTGTAAGTAATATAAGCCTCTCTGTGTTTACTTGGGTCTGAGTGGCTGCAGGACCACAGGTAAGAGAGATTTGTCTGGACCATGGGGGGCCAGGTGGGACCTGAGAAACATACAGCTACATTTGGCACCCAACATGGGGCATGAACCCACAACCCTGAGATTAAGAGTCTCATGCTCTACCAACTGAGCTACCAAACAATAAAAAGATGGTATTCCAGGGCCTGAGGAGATGGCACAGTTGGTGAAGTGCTTGCCTCCCAAGTGTGAAGACCTGAGTCCAGGTCCCAAGAAAGCCCGTTACAATGCTGGCTGTGATGGTGTGCTCTGATCACACCAAGAGCAGGATACTCACAGCAGAGACAAGCAGATGGTGAAGAACTTTGGTGAAGTTCCAGGCCAATGAGACCTTGTCTCAAATAGAAGGTGAAGTATGCCTGAGGATTGCCTGAGGGTTCACACCACAGACTGTCCTCTGACATCCATATGTGTGTACATGTGCACCCACATACACATGAGTGTGAGATCCTGTACACACACACACACACACACACACACACACACACACACACACACACACAGAGTTACATTTGGAAGATGTTCAATAGTGAGTTACTTGCCACAGGAAAAACTGGAAACAACCTATGTTTCCATCACCAGGAGAATGTTTCTCCCAGAATAGATGAGAAGATGATGTGGTGACAGGGGAGTCCTGATGATATGGGAAATTGCTAGGGCTTCTTGCATGTAGCAAAAGATCAAAGTGAAGGAAGTAACAAAAAAGTTCTGATTTCTGTACTTGTGCTCAAGTGCTATCCCTGTGACCTTAAATGAATGCTTCCGGACACAGTTTCCCTACACAGGCAAGTCAGGCAGCATGCTTGCTGTTAAGGCAACCATCAAATGCATCACACACAACACTCAAAAACATGTGGATCCAGATCCATCAAAGTGCTAGCCACTGTTGTGTGGGCAGAAGGGGGGGCTATGCATGATTTTAATTTTATTCTTTAACTTTTCATGTTTTCCCAAATTAAATATATCATGTATGCCACCTGGAAAACAATCTTTAATGAAAAGGAACACATCTTGGAGCTGGATGAGGTGAAGATAACCCCTCTCCTCCAGGAGACAGGAGGTGGAAAGAGTGAAGATGGCCACACAAAGGTCTCTGTCTCCAGAGCACAAAGAGAGGAAAGCAGAGCTGGAAGAGAGAAAGTCATCATGGGTCGTTTGCTCTACAGAGGAAGTATCAAGTTTGAGTCTTGGGAAAGAAAAGTAACAGATCAGGGGAAACCAAAGTCCAGAGTAAATATCAGAATATAATAATGTTAACAATAACAGTACAGGGACCAGAGGGCATCTCGAGGGTCGATGGAAGAGATGAGCAATTGAAAATAAAATGGTTTAAGAGAACCACAAGTCTACCCAAGAACACAGGTTTTTTGGGGGGCTCACTCAGCAGCCAGAGATATAACTTCAAAAGAGTCCCCTCAGGGTCTCTCTCCATATTAATAGGAGCAAAGCAATCTTCATCAGGCTTTTTATTTGTGGTTCTAAAAAGTTTCCTTTTGTATAAGAATATAGATGCAAACATCTGCCCTGAAGCCCTTGGTCCATTCTATCTATTTGTTCTGGTCATATAACTGCACAGGTGGACAGAAAAATTTCTGTAGCTCTTGTCTCTTGGAATGGAGAGGGAGCTACTACTTCACTCAAGGAAAAAAATCACTTAGAGATAGTTTAAAGCTGAGGCATTTGTTCATGCCAGCTTGTCCTACAACTGGGAATTAAACTTTCACACAGACCTTGAAAGGCAGGATTCATAACCCCAAGGTTCTAACACAGTATAACACAGAATGGCATAACATACCCATGCTATTTGATTCGCAAGCTCTTGAAGGCTCACCAGAGATGCTTCTTGGACGCTGTTTCTTTCTAGAGCAGGTACTGGTGCTCTGCCATCCAGAACACTTCTTTGAATGTGAGTTTCAAGTCCAGGGCCTCTTGGCTTATCTCTTGCTCCACATGAGTGTATTTCTCTCAATCATGGAACTCTGGAGAGCAATAGGACAATGAAGTCAAGAAAAAAATGACAGGCACTGCCTAATGTGGGCCAACTCATGAAGATGACCACATCATGAATGAGACTCCACTAGGAAAACAGCATGGAAGGTGCCCTAGAGACTGAGTGGTGGTTTTGATGAGGATGGATTCATGCAATTTGTGAGCTTTGCTCAGTACCCTATTCTGCTTCCAAAACATCATAGAGGAGGGAGCTGGGGAGATGGCTCAAAGCTTAAGAGTACTTGTTGCCCTTGCAGGGGACCTGGGTTCAGCTTCCAGGAACAGGGTCACAACCATTTGTAACTTC